TTTCTTCAGAACTTGGGTTTAGGCAAGTCCTCCACATCCTGGGAAATCACTGTTGTACCTAAGCAGATGATCAGGAGTCACGATCAACCTTACAAAGGGGTTTTGTTCTGGGTGAGAAAGCATGAGCCAGCACTGGTCATCCTGCTTCCCCAAGCAGGGGACAAAGAAACCACAGGAACTGCAGATGGGCAAAACAGATGAGCTCGTGCCCAGTTCCCCCAGCTCCCGCTGTGGCCGAGGCAGGATGGTGGCTGGTGCCATCTCTGTGCCACCCAGTGTAAGTGGCCTTGCAGAGAAACCCATTTAATTGGAGGTAGCCACTGTGGCCACTTTGTTTGCCAATTCCACCTGCCAGCCCGCTCAACTGTGCCATTGCCTGCACGCTGCCTGGGAACCGGGCTCCAACCCTGGCCCATGGGCAGGCCAGGTCACGTCTCTTCCTGAGCCTCAGCTCTGCAGCAGGAAAAACAGGGATTGTGGTTGTGACCGTGTCAGAATGAAAAGCAGCAGGCTGTGCTTGCTGTTGGATTTAAGGATGTCCAGCTCCCTGCTGCTGCTATCCTGAGATGTGGGCAGGAACCCGTGGAAAGCTGTGAGGGCAGTTCTCCTTGCACGTATGCAAAAGTTGTAGTCATTTGGGGTTTAACAGTGGCACCCCAGTGAAGGACATAAAATTGCTGGGGAAAAAACAGGAGACACCTGCCTGGTAAAAATAAAAAAACCTCAACCCCCCAAGAAACCTCAATAAAAGACCTGAACAGTCCCACTTCTTCCTGTGAAACCACAATACCTGTCCATGATAGGACTGCTGGGGCTTGGAAAGCTGGTGTGGCATGGCCAGACAGGGGCTGCTGGTGGGGAGCCTGCCACTGGAAGAGCAGCAGGAGATTTCAGGGATGTGCTCCTGTTTTGTCTGTGGTCTTGGAGATGTTGCCATGCTTGGCCATTGAATCCACCTCTCTTCTCGGGGTCGCTAGGTGCTTGTTTGGGAGAGGGGGTTATTCCGTTCAATTTGTTTCTTGCCATGTGAACAGTGGCAGTGGGAGCCCTACCTTTCCCTCCTGACCCCGGGGAGGATCCCTGTGGAAGCTGGTGGGTTGGCTGAGCTCTTTGCCAAAACATCTGCTGGATTCCCAGCTCCCAGGTTGCTTTCGCTTCCTGGGGCCTTACTTATTACTGGGGAGTTTGGCCGTGACGTTCCAGGCAGCAGCATCGCCCAGGCAGCTGGTAACCGGTGTTGCCGCTTATCGCCGCATCCGTAATTTCATTACTTTATCCTCTCCCCCTTCCCTGTTGCTGGTTGCTGCCCTTATCCCAGGAGCAGTGAGCAGTGTATTGTTATCGCCCCAGCTGTCAGGTGATCAGTTGCTCTTTGTTCTGACAGAGGCTTGTAGCACAAATGTAATCTTCTCCTACGCTTAATTGCCTCGCAGTGAGACCATTAATTGGCAGCCAGCAGGTCCCCACCTCCCGGGTACATGTTCATGGGTACTGCCTGGAGCTGGCTGGAAAGGCTGGAGGGACACTGAGCAGAGAAGGGGTTCTGTCCTCCAAAGAGTTACCCAAATTATATTGGGCCCCCAACATAAGGACATGGACCTGTTGGAATGAGTCCAGAGGGGACATGAAGATGCTCAAAGGGCTGGAGACCCTCTGCCATGGGGACAGGCTGGGAGAGTTGGGGGTGTTCAGCCTGGAGAAGAGAAGGCTCTGGGGAGACTTTATAGCACCTTCCAGTACCTGGAGGGGCTACAAGAAAGCTGGGGGGAGGGGGTTTTACAAGGGTCTGTAGTGACAGGACAAGGGGTAATGCATTAAAAGTGAAAGCGGGGAGATGTAGGTTGGATATCAGGAAGAAATTCTTCCCGGAGAGGGTGAGGAGGCACTGGGACAGGTTGCCCAGAGAAGCTGTGGATGCCCCATCCCTGGAAGTGTCCAAGGCCAGGCTGGATGAGGCTTGGAGCAACCTGGTCTGGTGGAAGATGTCCCTGCCCATGGCAGGGAGTGAGACGGAGTGGGCTTTAAGGCCCCTTCCAAACCAAGCCATCCTTTGATTCCATGAAATTCAGCTAGGCCCTGGAAGAAATCCCAAACTTTGCAGGTGGAAGAGTCCCCGCACCACCAGGCTCCTGTTACTGGTTCCCAGCTCCCCTCTGGCCTGAGTGCTCCCTTGTCCCTGGTTGTGAGAGGGGTTAACTCATGCCAGAGGGGTGAGTCATGGAGGCCCCAGCAAGTAAGGCCTGGACAGCGCTGCTGGCTGCTGGCTCTTCCTGTGTCCTGGGGCTTAGGCAGCTGTCTGCTTGGCACGGGAGTGGGCACCGCGGGCCAGGCAGGCTGGGCGGCTGGGAGGTGCTGGCTGCTGGAAGCCCCTGTCTTTGTGGGGAGAGGGGCTGTCACTCCATCCCGGTGGAGCCCCGGCAGCCCTGCTCATTCCTGGAAGTGCTGTTGGGACAGGAGCGTATGAGCCCTGAGGAGCCACATGCCAGCGCTGCCTCCTGCCTCCCGGCTCCAGCATGGCCAAGCCCTCGCTGGGGGTGTTTGGGGACCCACCAAGGTGGCCTCACCACCTGGCAACCGAGCTGCTGGGCAAACCTTGCCTCTCCCACCTACCTCTCTCTTTTACTTGGGAACCAATAGCCCAGAGCCTGTGAGCTGTCTAACAAAGCCAGCATTTAAGACACAGATATGCAAGTGGGGTGTAGACCTGAGGGGAATCCGTGGTGCCCATGGCCTCGCTGGGATACAGCCCTTCCCCTCCCCGCAAGGAAACCAACCAACACACAGAAATAAACCCGTTTTTCCTGGAGAAACCGCAGGGAGAGCTTTTCACCCCTGGGATTTACACAGTATCCAGACAGTGCAACAGCAGCCCCGGGCTGTGAGCAGTGGGGTGCTGTTGGGGTGTGGGTCTGTGCTGTTGCACAGAGGGAATAATTTCATATAACCAGAACGCAGGAAGTAAGGGAATCCCCCAGCCCTGAGTGCTGTCCCCCTCTCATGTCAGCCCCTGCTCTCCCCCCTGTGCTTGCTGGCTTCCTTTAGCTTTTCATGCTGACAAGGAGCAGGCTTGCAGCTGCTTTTATGGCTGTGGGACTCTGCCTCCAAGTGCCTGGGTGCCTGAAACAACAGGCTCCAGCTTGAGAAACCGATGGATCTGAGCAGATGGGAGAGCTGAGGAATCCAGGTGAAACTAGAGCAAAGCAAACCTTCCCACCAACCCCAGTGGAAGGCAAGCTGTGTTTGCTTAGCCTTGATCGGTCCTTGTTCCAGTGAATTTGATTAGGATGGCAGGTCGTCCGGGGAGTTGGGAGACCCTAAATGTAGGATGTGCTTCTGCATCCCCTCTTTGCCAACCCAGTAACCCTCCCTTTAGGGAGGACAGCCTCCCAGCTCCGTGCTGGCATGGAGACCTGACAACAAGCAGTCTGGTCTGGGTGCCTGCTCCGGGTGCCTTTCCAAGGAAGCCCTTCTGGGAAGATGTTCTGGGAATGTCTCTTCCAGACATCACCTCCCACCGGCACTGATTTGTTTTTCCTGGATCCTTGGTACAGAATATTCAGAACCAGGAGAACCAGAAAGAAAACTTGGATCAGAGGTTCCCCAGCCTGTTCAAGAAGGGACGAAGGAAAACAGTCGTCAGGAACATGGGGAAAATGATCTATTACGCCAAGGTCAAGTTTAAGTTTCAGCACTGCCAGGTAAGCTGTGGCACCTGTTTGTGGGTGTTCCTCTCCCCAGGTGCGGGGTGACTTGCACATGACTGGGAAATAAAGGTAATTCTGGGAAATGTGACTCACGGGGACTTTCTTGGGCTACTGTGTGGCCCGTGGACTTCTGCCACGCTGTGTGAGAGTACCCGCTGGCCCCATCCCAATAGGGAGCTGGGCCGGGCTGGCGGCAGATCCGCCGGCAGAGATGCGGTGGTGGCCCCTGGATAAGCCAGTGCTGGCTTTTGTGCGCACAGATCAGTAGGAGATGCAGAGAGTAGCTGGGAGGGGGAGGGTGTCCTGAGATAAACCCCAAAATGTGTCTTTTCTGCAGGAGGTGAATGACTGCTTCTTGGAGCTGTTCCAGTCTTACCTGTACTTCCAGTCTATGGGCTCCAAAGGACTCACCTACCAGGTAGGGCATCTCCTGCCTACACTGGGGCAAGCACTGGGGAGTCGGGCAGTATGGCCAAGCTGGGGGCACTGGGTGGGTGTGATGGGACAGGGCAGGGGGCTCTGCTCCCGGGGCTGCCTCCCCTGGGTGATCTCAGCAGGTCCCTTCCCATGGATGCAAGCTCCTGAGGGAAGAGAGAATTTCCTAAGGGCTGTACCCAGCCGTCCTCGGTGCCGCTGGAGCCTTGGCGGTGGGGTTGCAGCCTGCACAGGGCTGGCAGGAGCAGGGATTGGAGGTGTTTAGGCCACCTCTTTGTGTAGAGCACCAAGCACAGAGAGCTACACCCTGATAAGAGTCAGAGCTCACATCACTCAAAATCCCACTGGCCTCGGTGCAGTGGTGGACTTGGCCCTGGCTTCTGAACCGAGGGAGTTCTTCATCTCCAGGGCTGAGAAAGAGGCATGTGGGAGAGGGTGGAAAGAAAAACTTTAAGGGAGCCATGGGGAGCTGTCTTGGCAAACCATTCATCAATCTTCTAACCTGATGATGCCAGTGAATTAGATACAATAGGCTGGTTTGCACATGCAGCCAAAAATCACAGCCGAACGAACGGGAAGCCCCGAATGTACTCTCCCTCTACATGGGGGCCCAGCAAAACTAAGCATGGTTCTCTGGTAGATGTTCAGAAGATTTGTTCCTTTTAGAAATGATGTATTTTCTTCTAGGTGACTTGAGGTTAATGCAATGTGCCAATACAATCTCAAGTCACCCAGCAAGCCAGCCTTCAGCTGGAGAGACACATGTCAGAATACAAACAATATTACAAATTATCCCATCTCCTTTATAAGAAATTCTTTAGATTATTAATTCTAGAGGAATTAAAAAGGGATTAATGTGCCAGTACTGGCCCCTAGACATTACAGCAGTTAAGATCTTTTATAGTCCATGTTCAGAAAGGCCAAGACACAAACTTGTCGTCTGTTCTGTGCTTCCTTGTAGTGGGACTCTGAGGAACTGGAATATAGAAACCAGACAGCTCAATTTTGCTTTATGGTCATTTCCATCTTCTGGCTTTCTTGTGTTAAACCAGCGGTGGGGGTTGGTTTTGAAGCTTCTCTTAAAACTGAAACACTTGGAATACAGAGAAAGTATTCTTGCCAGCATGGCAGATGATTACTGCTGTGCTGGCCCCACGGAGCGCAGAGAGCTGCTGAGCCTGCTTCCTCAGGGGAGTGTGCTGGGTCGAAGTCCCAAATGTTTCCCCGCTGAGCAACGCTTTGCAGTCTGACGCTGTAAGCCACAGCAACCCGCTGGTGCCAAGTCTGGACTTCAGTCTCCTATGGCAAAGGGGCATTAATTGCAGAGCCTGCCTGTGGGCTGCCCCCCAAAATAATGGTGTGTTCTTCTTCTGCAGGGACTGCTGCCCTTGGGAGAGCTGAATGTGTGCGAAATTGAGAATGGGAAGGGCGCTGGGCAGGAGGATCATGCTTTCCGCATCACAGGTCAGTGCCTCTTCGTTTGCTTTGAACAGAGAACAGAGGGTGCATGAATCACGACTGTCCCTGCTCTTTGTCCCACTCTGACCTAGCCCCAGAGGAGAACCACGTAGTGGAAAGAGGTTGCAGAGAGCTGAAGCTCTTCCAGCATTTGCATCTCTCCTTCCAAGGCTTCTCTGCTCCTAAACTCCTGGATATTGATGCCCAGGGCTGCAGGCAGGGATGGGACTGGATAGGGAGTGCAGAGTAGGGATGCTCCTGTGCTCCCGCTGCTTAGTACTCAGGACACATGGTGACAGTTCCCACCTCTGCCCAGGCATTTGCTCTTTGTGCACCACATTTGAATGAGGGAATGGAATAAATCTCCTTCTTCCACCTCTCCTCACCCTATAAACCCCGTGGCCAAGGGGTGACTCCAGGCAGGACCACATACAGTGCCATGTGTGGCACAGGATGGGCAACAGTGCCACGGCGAGTTGCCTCTACCGGCAGTGCCAGGCTGGTGCTACCAGGACCCCATGTCACTTCACCAACTCTTATCTCACCAGCACTTCTGCCTCCACAAGCTTTTTTAAGCTTTTCTCTGAGTGATCTTCAAAATAAAAATTTTCCTGGGGTAACAACCTGTCTGCAGCTTGGCTGGAGGCTTCTTCGGGCTTAGTCATTGCTAAAGTACAGCAGTCCCAAGTCCCCAAGAGTTGTAGTTAAAGCATGAAGTACACAGAATTCACTCAATAACCCAGTAACGATGCAGAGCCAAGAAAGCTCGTTTGTGTCCTAGTATTTGTACGTGTACCCAACTGTCGATGGAGGCTGGAGTCCTCTGTTAGAGAGAAAGTTATACAACGGCCACTCAAACAAGAAAATTCCATACGTTATAAAAAGGAACTAGTACAAACGACTCAGCAATTTTAAGCCCGCTGAGTTGTGGTCTTGTTGCACTGTACTAGGCAGGGGGTCTCCAGCACTTTCTGGGAGTCTGTGAAATGAAGGAAAACTTCTCCCAGATGGAACCTGCCAAGAGTGTCTGCGCTGGGGTGGGTGGACTTGTTCTGCTTGTATTAAGACACGCAGGAGTGTGGCTGGGTGGAAAATCGCCTCGAGCTTGGTTGGGTTTGTGTCCTCCTGAGGGAAAGAACAAGCCGAGGCCTTTCTGAGAGTGCTGGGTATGTCAGGAAGCAGCGACACCGAGAAACCAGGGAGGTAGTGATGTTTGGGATTGCCGGGAGATGAGCACAGCAGTTTTATTTTTCTGCCAGAGCGGGAGAAGTCAAGGCACGGAGGGGTAAGAGCCTTGTCCGTGGCCACACACAGGGTGAGGGTGGAAATCTTTTGTCTCATGACTCTGAGACACAAAGGACATGCATCCATTCCCTTGTGAAATCCTGTGGCATCAGTAGTTCCCCATGAACCGCAGGGCAGGTCGGTACATCAGACGCCGGCATGGTCACTGGAAGTGTGGAGGTGGAGCGCGGGACCGAAGCCTGGCAGCGTGCAGAGCCACCCCTCAGAGCTCTGGGACGGTGGATGGCAGCTGGCCATCACCTTGGCTTTGTGCTCCATCTCTGGCAGGCACAGCCTCTGATGAAGCTGCTGAGCGCCTTGAGTTACCTCCGCCTCACCTGCAAACGTCGCGGCTTCTTAGTGTCTCCAGACAGGGAGAGTTGGGTGGGAATAAGCTGCTGCTGCTCCAGGAAGGGGCTTTCTTGCTTCCAACATTCCCCTGGAAGCATCCACAAGGAAAGAGGAAGGCCAGGGCAGAAGAAGGGAGCACGAGGGCTGGCGCAGGTTGCTCAGCATGGCTGTGTCACGGCCCTGCCGCAAACGTGCCCTTGGGGCGGGGGGAAATGGCAGCGACCGAATTAGCAGCAGCCTCTCACGCTCTGCTTCGCAGCCTCCCCAGCCGCTCCTTGCACGAGCTTCGGGCATGAATCAGGCTTCGGCAGGAGTTTCTCTTCTCATTTTCTCTTCCTCTGGGGCCCTGTTTAGATGTGGCAATGGGAACAGCCTTTGGGATACGTCTGAAAGGCTGGCCTTGGGGGAGGTGGCAGAGCAAGCTGTGCCATGCTAAGGGTCGTGCCCTACCAGAAGGATTCCTGCTCTTCCTATAGGGACCTGGATGCCCAGAGAAGTATTCAGAGCTGCCAGAATATCTAGATAACGTGTTAGCACCTATATACCCTCCTAGCAATTCTATATCACTTAATTTCCGTTGCAGAGACAGGGAAGCGAAGGCAAGAGGAGACAAGAGAGCTCCGGAGCCACACGGTGCTTAGATACTTGGATATCCATTAATTACTGTGGTGGCTCTGAATAGAGTTACTTATGGGAAGTCACTCAGGGAGTCCCCTGCCTCAGTTTCCCCACCTCTGCTTTGTCTGTATTCGTGCATTTCCTGACAGACAGCGGTGTTTCAGAGTCTTAATTAACCGTTGCTCATAAATAATGCAGGAATCACAGGATGAAAGGCTCTGCAGAAGGGCAAAGTATCATGCTTATCCAGGGCACTTGCTTATCTGAATACTTCCAAGCCCCGCGAAGCCGCATCTCGCTGAGCATGCGCCGAGTATGGTTTAATATGAGATCACCAGTAAATTATTAATCATAACATACATTCTGCAGCCTGCCAGAAATGATTACTAGCGTCACTAAGTTATGTCTGTAGTGAGTAGCAGAGGGTGTGTGAGACCGTTTTTGCTCGTGCAACTAAGCGAGTGATCGCTGGAAACATTAAAATCAACAAGATAGAGGGCTGTTCCTCCCTTCAAGAGTATGTCTGAGAGCAGCTTCGGCTTGTCTGGCACAGATTGTATTTGGTGAAGCAATAAAGTAGTGTCAGAATGCTACTGATGTTGTAGATATTGAGAGCCAAAGCGAAACTAAGAAATAGCATGAAACTCTTGCGTGGAGTTAGGCTGACGGCAGCAGCACGTTGGGACGGTCTCTGCCCACAGAGATGCTTTTCACAAACTTCTGGGGATTTGTAAAGCTGAAATCTGTTATCTCAAGATTGGCTTTTGTACTGTCTTTGATTTTTCTTCTTGTCTGGGTTTCGGACTGACACGGTCAGAGCTCGATGTGGCTGTGTGAGCGGGCGGTGGGGAGGTGCCGGAGCGGTCTCTCTGGGGAGCTCCCCAGCAGCCTGATGCGAGACAATGTGCTCAAGGTAGTGGCTGGGACTGGAGCAGGATGTCAACAGAACCATGCACTGGGGTGACGTGGTGAGCAGAACAGCTCTGGCCAGCTGATTGCTTGTTGGTGCTGCAATTGGTGCCCTTATCTGCTCAGCTCATCTCGTGTCTCGCATACCTAGGTCCTCTGCTGAATCCCCTTATCGTGTTCTGCCCTACTGAGTCAGAGCTGAAGCAGTGGCTTTACCACCTGGAGAAACAGATCCAGCTAAATGGAGGAAGAGTTGGCTTGCCCTTCCTCTCTCAGGTTAGTGTCTTGGTACAGGGAGGGCTGCAGCTCTTTCCCATGCTGTGGGCTCGAAGCTGAATGACCAGGACCAGTTGTGTGGATGCTGCACTGCTCCTGCTGCGTTCAGTGGGAGGGAGAATCTCTGCAGCCAGCTTCTCTCAGCCATTTTCACCACACATCCACCTAACACCTTCTTAATCCAGAGTCCTGAGTGACCATGGGGCTGTGTGTGCCTCCTCTGGGCTGGCCGGGCTGGAGAGCTCAAGCCAAGGGTTGGGCATGGAAAGGGAGAGGGGCTCTGGGTCTATTTCCAAATGCTCCTTGCTGTGCTTGCTGCTCTTTCACAGTGTTGGAAGGAGCTGTGGGGTTAACTCCTGGTCTGATCCCCCTTTTCCAAACCAGCTGTTCGAGGGCTTCCCTGCACCGGTCGGGGAGCTGCCCCTCTGGTATGGTGCACTGGGGTTTTGGGCCTGTGTGTGGCCCCAGGTGCTTGCTGCCTGAGGCACCAGTCTGCTTGCCAGTGCCTGGAGCTGGCCCTGGGCAATACGCCTCACAGCTCTTCCTTTAGTTATTCCACCACCCCTAAAATAACCGTGGATAGACTTGCTAATTACCCACCCTTGACAGACATCTTATAGAATGAATCATAGAACAGCTTGGGTTGGAAGGAACCTTAAAGCTCATCTAATTCCAACCCCCCTACCATGGGCAGGGACACCTTCCACTAGACCAGGTTGCTCCAAGCCTCATCCAGCCTGGATGGTCTTGCTTGGGAACTCCGCTGCCCATGGAGGAACCATGCGTTTGTGTTCAGACAACCTTAGGGGCTTAGGTCTGAGCAACCAGCGCTGGGGTGAATGTGGGATTTGGGTCTGAACGGTAGCCCCAAAGGGGTGCTCTGTACTGCGGAGACCCGACAACAGCTTGCTGCATTTCTGCAGCTCACACAGCAACTAATTTTGGAGCTTGCCTTTTGTGCGGTCTCGTGAGAGGGAAGGGTGAAAAAAGAAAGGTTTTGCAAGAGCGTCTGGCAGGGCATGTGTGCTGAAAGGGAAGCCAGAGACCCGGAGGTGCCAGCTCCACAGCCTCTGAAGGGTCTGCTTTGGAGAAATTCTCACACAGCTGGCTGCTTGTGCAATTACCCAGAGTTTAGACAACATTTGAAGGGGGAGACTGGGACCCGACCTAGGAAACAGGACCAGATTCCAGAGACCTGTCTTGTAGTGTCTGTGGGGTGTTTTACTTCTCTCCATCTCCGTCTCCATCTCCATCTCTCCACTTGTAAAACAGAGTTATTCCCCTTTGAAAGGGAATGTACAGGTGATGCCAGGAACCAAGTATGGGTATTCAGTCCCAGGTGGAAAACTGGCTCCTGCACAGATTTCTTTTTACTCTTCCCTGCTTCTGCCACACTTGAAAAGTGTCCTGAGGTGTGCAATGTGCTAGCTAAACTCTATGGGGAGGGCATGTCTACCCTGCTTCTCATGCCTCTGTCCCTAGAATGACTGGAAGCAGAGCTCGATGGGGAAGGAGGAGCTGCGGTGGTCCGTGCAGAACATGCCTGTCCAAGAGTGGAAAGGGACACAGCGCGAATCCCTCGGCGATGTCCTCTGTGTTTCCAAAGTGAAGCTTCAGCATCTGCCTTTCCAGGTAGGACACATCTCTGGGGAGCAACCTCCTGTCAGCATGGCTCAGAAAAGGCAGTGGATGGAGTGAGTGGCACAGATTCCTGCTTACCTCCTGCCACTAATCCAACAGGGCCCCGAAGGGTCCTTTTACCCACATGCCAGCAAATGGACAAGGTTTGTTGCTGCTCCTGTGGTGCCACAGTGGTCCATGGGGACAGCCAGCACGTGTGCAGGACAAGGCTGGCAGCTGGAACCGGCAGGAGGAGCCCAGTTGTGAGGAAGCAGCTCGGCTGTTTCCAGAGCCTTTGCCTCAGGCTGCTGTCAGAGAGACAAAGTAAAGGGCTTTCCAGATCTGAGCCCTGTCTGGCTGCTCACAGGGAACCCTTTTCCTCTTTACTTTCCAAGGAGCAGCATGACCGACTGTTGGTGCTTTACCCCTCCACGCTGGTGATAGTATCTGAAGAACGCAACGGCCTCTGTTTTAAGGTAAGCTCATTTTTGGAGCATCTTCCTGCTCTCTCTCACCCACAGCAGCTATTTCAGCACTTCTTTGGCTTGTTGCTCCCCTCCACCTGGGTTCCCTTGCGCTCCTCATCTTGGCAAGGGCTTTCCCTCCACGCTGCTGCCTTGCCAGCTGGCAGGTGAGCAGGCAGAGGGATGTTGCAAGCTATCTTCCCATGAGAAACACCTTGCCCTCCTACAGAAGTCCGCGGGGGGAGAGGAGGTGGCTGCCAAAGAATCTGAGCCTGTGGGAGGAGGGAGGCTGGCATGTTTCTGTGTGGTGATGCTGGCAGAGAGCCCGGCTCGCTTGCTTGAGACAGGAGCTGGAACAGCCCCAGAGAGCGTCCCCGCGGGGGCTTGGCTTCCCAGGCCCCGCTCTGTGGGACCACTTGAAAGCAGGTAGCATCCAGGCGGCACACCTGATGCTCCTGGGGAAGGGCAAAGGCAGTTAGTTGGCTGGCGGGCAGAGAGGAGAGGCTGCTGCTGGTGCACTGCGTTTGCTGCTCTGGAGCAAGGGCCCTGAGCAACGTCTGGGCATGCCAGCAGAAGGGGCAGTGAGGATGTGGAGGCCGGAGTGCCCCAGGGCATGGGAGAAAAGCTTTCCTAGCCCACTGGTGTGTCTTTGCTTGTAGGAGCAATGCTAGGAGCCTCAGCACAGAGGGGCAGTGGCACCGTGGGCCCTGGGAGCTGCCTTCACGTCACTAGCAGCCTGAATCTTTAACATCATTGCGATAGCTGTTAAACAGCCCTGTGTGTTCTGGCCCTGTTTTTTCATGCTGGAACGGATTTAGACTGGATATCAGGAAGAAATTCTTCCCAGCGGGGTTGGTGAGGCACTGGGACAGGTTGCCCAGAGAAGCTGTGGATGCCCCATCCCTGGAAGTGTTCCAGGCCAGGCTGGATGAGGCTTGGAGCAACCTGGGCTAGTGGAAGGTGTCCCTGCCCATGGCAGGGGGTTGGACTAGATGATCTTTAAGGTCCCTTCCAACCTCAACCATTCTACGATGACGTCCCTGGGCAGAGGAGATGGCTGTGCCTGCGACGGGAAGGGGTATGAGGAGGGACACGTGCCAGTCAGAGCTCTCTTCCATCCCCAGTCCAGCAGCGGAGGGTGTTTTCCAGCAGCCAGTGGCTTGTGTGACACACCTCAGACAGGGCTTGTTTTCGGGAACATGTTGTTTGCACCTCCTGGGAACGGGGCATCACGTAAGGGGGACTTGGGCTGGGCTCTCAGATTAACTCATCTCTTTTGAAACCTTAAACCAGATTTGTCTGCCCTGTCCGTGCAATTTTCCCTTCCCACGGTGCCTGAGCGTTGGTCCCCGGGCGTCTTGCTCGCTGGGGTAATGGCAGGGCTCCGCGCAGCCGGGTGCAGGCAGGAGGTGATTCACCAGTCTGTGACACTGCAGTGGGAACCTGATTTTCCACAGGCATGTCAGGGCACAGGAGCCTTCTCCCAGGGCTTCTGCAAATTAACTTCCCTTCCCTGCGAGCAGATGCTGAGCCCTACAATTTGTGTGCGAAGGAATAGCCTGGTCCTTTTGTTCTTCGGTTTCATACAAACCACAGGAGCTGCCGCTGCCAAGTTCCTTCCTGTGTGGGACAGGGCAGGGGGAGGCAGGGGCTGAGCCTGCCGGGACCAGGTTCCCCCAAAGCGGCAGGCTCTGGCTCACCGCTGGTGGGAAAAGCCCCTGGGCCAGGTGTAAATCAGCACGGGGGGTGCTGCAGGTTCACACCGCATCTGGGGAAGGCCGGAGGGGCTCTCTGCAGCCGAGGGGTGTGTTAGTTGTGGGTTGCTGCTACCCTAGGTGTGACTGCAGCCCTGGAGGGGAGTTCCACCCCTTCCCATGGAGAGGGAGCTGTTTCGGAGCTCCAGGCGCCTGGGGAAAGCCCTACACAGCCATCCTCCATTCTGCTGCCCAGAGAAGCTGTGGATGCTCCATCCCTGGAAGTGTCCAAGGCCAGGCTGGATGAGGCTTGGAGCAACCTGGTCTAATGGAAGGTGTCCCTGCCCATGGCAGGGGGTGGGACTGGGTGGGCTTTAAGGACCCTCCAACCCCAAACCATTCTGTCATTCTATGCTCCTCCGTGGCAGGAGGGCTGGCTTGAACGTGGCCCTGGCCACCCGCCATGCAGCCCCGCAGCACCCACACCAGCTGAAGCATCCAAGCCCATCTCTTAGTGCGTGAGCATTGCATGAGCCTTCCCTCCCCAGGTCAGCCCTCCCGTGCTGCTCAGCCCATATGTTCTGGGGCGGGAGGAATGCCACAGCAGCCTGTGTGTGCCCACAGGCTGTTGCAGAGGCAGCTGGCCAGCACAAACCAGGGAAGCCAGGCTGAGCTCCGCATTTCTCCTGTGGCAAAGCTACCCCATAAGCCACGTTCCCCAGAGCCCGTGCAGCTGGTAGAGCTTTGCAGTTGGGACACGATGAGGGGTTTCTGCTGGATGCTTTAGTTTGCAGCCTGTAAACTCAGGCAAATGAATCCTAACCGATTGCACCTTTTGAGAGGACCTTTGGCTAAATGACAGGGCTTTGCTCCTGCTTTCTCTACTTCCTCCGCTGCTGGGCAAGGGGGAAGGTGGTGTGAAGTGGGAACTTCGTATCCTGAGCTCTCCCCAGACCCTGCCACCCTGCAGCCAGGAGCTGCTCTCAGGGCTGTTGCCACTGGCTGCCCCTGCCTAGTGCTCCGTGCCCATGGACAGGGTTAGGGTGGCATCCAGGTGAGGTGAACAGGAGCTTAAAGAACAAAGAAATTATCCCCCTGCTCAGAGAAAGAGATGAGAAGTAAAGTAACGAGCTTATCTGTGAGGTGGTTCCAGTGCAAAATCTGCTTCAGCTGCTCTCCCAGGACTGTTCTTGTTCCATTTATGTAAGGAAAATTCATCTTGGGGACCCTCAGAGAAGGAGACCCAGATCCTAATTCAGTGTTGACAAACCCTTGGCCCTTCTGCTGAGTTGCCCATCGCAGAGCATTAAACTGCTGTCAGTGCTGACACTTGAAGGACATGGGGCAGCACTCAGAGGAGCCGAGCTGATGCTGAGCTGAGGATGGGATGCAGAGGTCTGGACATTGCCTGTTCCTGTCCATGCCATGGAGCTCACAGGAGCTCTGGGCCGGGCACAGAGCAGCGCCTGGGGCACATGCAGGGATGGACAGGAGACATCGGGGTGATGGCAGAGAGGACAGCGGTGGATCTGCATGCATGGGCACTATTACACTAAGAGGCAATAGCACATCGTATCTTCTCACTCCAGTTTTTCCAGGAACAGGCTGCTTTAGCTTCCGCGCCTCAGCTCCCTGTTAATAGGAACATACATGCAATGCCTGCCAGGAGCAAACCCCGCTCCGATCACGGGAATGGCATTCACAACTGCTGTATAGCACAGGAGCTCACATTTCATCAGCTGGCATTTAGTCTGTCTTTGTAAGGCTTTGCAGGGAATGGATTGTGGGGATTCTTGTTTGCAAGGCTGGAAGTCCCAATCCAGCGACTAAAACCGTGTTCAGGACCATGTCGGCAAAATTTTCTGGAGAAGTCAGCCGTTAAACTATGGGAAACTGTTGAAAACAGAGCTAGAAGGGAAGGAGTGTTTGTCCAAGCTCAGGTCTCAGGAGGGACTTTGTAAGAATGAAGCTTACAGAAGTGGCTCGTGTGGTCATGCTCGGGTCAGAGGCTTCGTTCCTGCCACGGGGCTGGTGGTGGGAATGCGAGGTGTGAGCGGGGAGGGTGGACTGGGACAACGCTGAGTCAATCTGCTGGAAACAGTCTCACCTATGAGAGTGTAGAGTCCTCACCCAGATTAGCAGCAGCTCGGGTGCCCCCCGTCTCCGCAGACCTAGCCTAGGGGATTTGGGCACTGAGCTTCCCCTTCTTCCCTGCCTTCTCCGTAGGGCATCCCGAGGGGATTGCCAATGGGGCTGAGCGGCACCTTCTCCCCACGCTGCATGAGGAGCAGCCAGGCTCCTGCCAGCCTTGCCCCCTCCTCACCCACAGCCCTGCAGTGGGGAGTCCCTCCTTGTGCTCCCAGCTAAGCTGACAAAAATTTGCAGTAGGTTCCAAAGGCCTTTTGGCTCCCGTGATGGGAAAACCCCTGTGGAAGCAGAGTTTCACCAGGCGGGTGCCTGCAGAGGCCCCAGCTCCCAAGCAGAGGTGGCAGCGGGGTTGTGATCCCGGCTCCGGCTCTCTGCCATACGGCACCGACTGGGAGCTGCGCTCAGCCGTGCGGTCCTAAGCCTGCTTCTCTCTCCACAGGGCGAGCTGCCACTCAATGCCATCCACGTGCTTTTTGAAGAGAACGAGAAAACCTCCTTTTTAATAGAAGGTGCGTGTCCGGCATGCCGAGGGGTGTGCTGGCAGCAGCCACGGAGGTCTCTGGGCCTGGGCTGGTTTGGCTAAGCTGCTGTGGCCATCTTCCTGGCTGTGCTCGCTCACGACAGCACCCGGGCTCTGTGAACGGAACCGCTTGGACATCTCGCATTGTCCGTGCCCGGGCTGCCTGGCAGGGCTGGCTTTGCTGGCAGGGAGAGGCTGTGAGCCAGCGGTAGGGCTTGCACCCAGGGCTGCGCTTGCCCCAGCTTCCCCCTCGTTTAGGTCTGGGCTGTGATTGCCCCTGTCCTACACTCAGCCAGGTGCAATGGTCAGCACCGAAGGGAGAGGGTTGTCATTGTCCCTGCACCAGCATCAGGATCTTCAGACCCTGGGGGAATGTGAGGAGGGATGGAGTAAGGGAATTCAGAGGGCTGGAGCACCTCTGCTGTGGGAACAGGCTGGGAGAGTTGGGGGTGTTCAGCCTGGAGAAGAGAAGGCTCTGGGGAGACCTTATAGCACCTCCCAGTGCCTGAAGGGGGGGCTACAGTAAAGATGGGGGAGACTTTACAAGGACAGGGAGTGACAGGACAAGGGTTTAAACGGAAAGAGGGAGATTGAGACTGGACATCAGGAAGAAATTCTTCCCAGAGAGGGTGGGGAGGCACTGGGACAGGTTGCCCAGAGAAGCTGTGGATGCCCCATCCCTGGAATTGTCCAAGGCCAGGCTGGATGAGGCTTGGAGCAACTTGGTCTAGTGGAAGGTGTCCCTGCCCATGGCAGGGAGTGGGGCTGGGTGGGCTTTAAGGTCCCTTCCCACCCAAACCATTCCATGATTCTGATTCAGACGGGTTTCTGAAGGCAGCACCGCGGCCGTCGATGAAAGCTGGTAACAGCAGTGAGTGATGTTTTTACAGGCCGACTAATCAATTCGATCCGGGTGATCTGCCGCAGCTACGATGATTACCAGGAATGGCTCTACTGTCTCAAAACAGCCCAGTTTCGAAATGCCGACTCCTCCCTCTCTGGATCAGAGAGTTTCTCAGGATCAAAGCTGCCACACCCCAGCCAGGTAAGAGATGCTGCGGGTTTCCGTGGTCCTCAGTCGATGCCTCCCAGGACTCTGCTTTGTCCTGTCTCTGGCCACTCCTGTGACACAACAGACTTTGCTTCAAGTCCCCTGCTCGAAGGCTGTCATGCAGTTGCTGATCCCTGCAAATTATTTGGATGGCCTATATTCGGTTATATAGGCATATATATATATCAAATTCCTTCAGAAGCAGAGCCCTCGCCACGGCCTGTGACAGGGTTATGCAGTGAGACATCGGCACAAAGGTATTAACAGGGTCTTGCAAGGAAGGAGAGACCCATCCTGCCAGCACTGCAGCCGGGATGGGGTCAGGGTGCCTGAGTACCCTTCACCCCACCGCGAGCCCTCGTCCTTTGCCCCGGTCACCCCTGCGAGCCAGCTCAGCACCAGCCACGGCTGCCCTGAGCACGTGGGCACAGAGGGATAGGGTGGTCCTGGGATGGGGCTGGGGAGGGATGTGCCTGCAGCCACACAGAAGGCTGTTCCTACATGCTGTTCTTCTCCCCCGTCTAGTTTGCCAGCAGCGGGAGAGGGTCGCTTACTTCCGATGGTCGTACTAACTCCTGGGCATCCGGAGGGAGAGTGGCCACCTTAACACAGCTCTCCCAGAACAGCGGCTCTCTCCCTGATGGGCAGTCCTTCGTGCTGATGCCTGAGAGCAGAGTGCTCGAAGACCCTCTCTCCCCTGGATATTCCCAGCCTCTCCATGTAAGTGACCCCCACAAAAGCCTGGGATGTGTGTGGGGACAGACACCTTTGAGCAGAGTGGTCTGTCCAGGTGCCCGGGTGGGCTGGGCTTGGGTGGTCAGTGTTTGCTGTGTGGCATAGCAAATCCATGCCTGGAGCCTGTATTTGTCCTGGCTCCGCTTTGTCATGGCTGATAAAGGAAAAGTCTGCTTAAGGGTCCCATCCCAATATTCCGCTCTGCCTAAGGATTGTTTGTACGGATTGCAAAAGGGCAAACGGGACAGTTCAAAGGTCAGGAACCCATGGGTGGTGGAGATGGTGGGCTGGGCAGGCCTTTCTGACCCGGCACAGCATTCACATGTCCAAGGGGGTGTGTGGGTGCATGGGGGCCTGGGCCCGGCCGCTGGACCGTGCCGATGCAGGAGCGCAGTGCGATGCCCACAGCAGCAGCCCTATCCTTGCCATACCTCAGGGCTGGGCCAGGGAGAGCCAACTCTGGGGTCTGTCTTCTCGTTTCAGTGCCTGGCACAAGCCAACTGGGCAAACACGGGGCTGCCCGCGCAGGACCTGCGGAGGGGGGGCAGCTCTAGAAAGTCCAAAGGCAGATGTGGGCCATGCGGCCAGCAGCTGCCCAGCCAGGACATGGAGAGGACCATCTGTAGCCTCATTCCTGAAAACCCCAATGGCGAGCTCCTGTCCTCAGTGTACAACGAGCCGTACTCCGCACACAGCTCACAGCATCACCCCGCAGCCCCCCCGCCACACCTGGACCTGAGTGTAAGGGACTGGGACGCGGTGGGGATGGGAAGGGTCGAGTGGCAAGAACTGGTGCATGGTTTGTGTTTTCCTTGCGGTCCTACTTACAGGAGTAGCTGTCTTGGAAGGTCTCTAGGGCAGAGAGACCCATTTCCATTTGAAAATGGGCCCATGGGATGTGAGGTTAAACACAAAGGGACCAAACTCTTGGAGCCCTGAAGTGCTGGGCACTGATTCCCAAGGGAACACAAGCACCAGTGCTCTGAGAGTAGGAGTGTTATTACTTCCGAGGACACAGCCTCTTCTCCCGAGGACTTTCCAGCATGTGTCCATCGCTGGTTTAGTGTGTGATGACCCATTTCCCTCCCGGCAGCCCCCGTGAGTGTACGCACACTGCCTTACGCCCAGGGAAATCCCTGGGTTACTACAGAGGGCTGGAGTCCGCACTCAACCCCGCTATCCCTCACGGCTGAGCAGCGCTTGGGACTTGAATTACAGGGAGATTTCCCGCCTTGATCCCTCCTGGGAATGATCTGCAAGTGGGGAACAACATGTCATGTTCCTCTTCCAATTCTGCCTTTTAGCTGAACAGATGGAGCTTGGTGGGAAGTCAGCCCTCGACAGCTTCCAGCTCCCTGGAAAAGCCGGCTGTGCCCTGCTCCCCCGTGTACGCCGATCCCTATACGCCCAGCTCTCCCCGTGCTCGCAGCATGGCAGGCTCCGGCTTCCTGGAAGAGGTACCCTGTGCCTTTGCTGCTGGTTATGGCCCTGACTCAGCACACAGGCTTTTGGCTCCAGGAATTGTGCCTTGGGCCATTTCTTTTCCTGCTCTTTGCCTGAGCCCGAACGGGATGTGGAAACTCTGCATTTCGGGGTGGGGCAGAGAACAGCATAGTTCTCTCTTTTTCAGGCTGGGACAGAGTTAGAGGGGAACAGGTTTCCCATGTTTTATCACTTGATATCAGCGTCACAATAATCCCAGGAAGAGCCAGAAACCGCAGAGACGGAGATGTGATGCAGTCCACAGAAACCAGCCATGAGTCAGACACAGAGACCACTTCACCCACCCCAAAAAAATTCCAGCCATGATAACTTGAGTGCCTGTGAAGGGCTACATTTCTAGTTTTGTGCATCTCTTGGGAAAAGGTTGTTTCTGAGTCTGGCTGGCATCCCCCATACCGCTGAGTCCTCCCTTCCCTCAGAGGGTTCTTCCCGACTGTTCTCTGTCCTTCCCCATCCTACTCCTTTCATGTCTAGCCAGCTCCCACTACCTGTAGGTCATTGCAAGGGATCTGCAGCCATTCTTCCTTTCCCATCTAAGGCCTTCAGGATTGGCATGTGGTAGAATTTGCAAGGTAGGCAGAAAACCTTGGTTTGCCTAAGGCTGTTCGTAGCAGGGTTGGCTTACAGGTGAGAAGCCTGTGTTGCCCAGCTCTCCATGCCAGGTATCATATCTGGAGTTGGTTTTGGTTAAGTTCCTGCAGTGTCACGGGCAGACGGGTTCAGCACAGGCAAACGGATGCCCAGCTGGCCCAGTACCCCAGCATCTCTCTCTGCAGAGGAGGATCTGCCAGCCCCTGCCCAGCAGCCATGGCAGGGAGGTGTCCACGGCTCCGAGTTACAGCATCCCCAACTCCTCATCCCGTCGGTGGCCTCCTGCTGATGCTTCTTATCTTGAAGATGTGAGTTTATAAATGCAATCCTGGTGCCCCACACTGTGCAGGCTGCCCCGGAATACAGCGGGGGTGCGAGGGTCCCTGCTTGCCTTTCTCTGGGCTGGCAGAGGGGTCACTGCAGGTCTCTGAGCCCTTTGCTTTGTGATGGGTGCAGCCTGGGGAGCAGGCGTGGGGGACAAGCAGAGGGCTGACTGCTGATGCGCAGTTTCCCAGGGCTGCAGCCATCCTCATCAGCACGTCTCTCTCTTTTCAGGTCTCTTCTCTGCAAGAGGAACGTCTGGGCCCTTCATTGCACTCACCAGGTGAGACTCTTGCGGGGTTGCTTGGGTGCTGCAGCCCACCCCACCTCGCTGCTGTCTGTCTTCGTAAGCATCATTCAGAGCAGGGCTGAGGAGGGATCCACGGGACTCACACATGCCCTTCCTCCCTCCTGCTTCCCCGTGGTGGGCCTGAGTGTCACCCCGCTCCTCGCCCGTGTCCTTGGCTTCCTCACTGCCCACCCGTCACACTTGTTGGGGAGCTTGTGGCTTTTTCTGTGGCACACAGGCAGCTTCCACCGCTTTGCCCAGATCCAGCTGCCTCTGGGCTGTGATATTGCTGACCCTCGTGCGTTCTCTCTGCTGGCAAAGGAGACTGCAGCCGCTGGGATGCTCACGAGCTCCCTGAGTGCTTTGGTCTGTTTTTCTGCAGAGGGGGATGCTGGTGCCTACGACCTTCCCGAGGCTAGCTGCTCGCTCCGTGACTCCGCAGCATACCACGACTATGCCGAGCTCCAGAGCTTCCAGAGTGACTTCAGCTATGACAACCTGTGGGAAGCCGAGGAGAAGGAGCCAGACAGCGTGCGTGCCTCCCCAGCATCCAGCCAGCAGTTTTACCAGGCTTGAGGAAACGCCTCCATAGCCAGGCACAGAAAAGCCCCCCGGGCTCTTTTCTTGCTGGGCTTCCCTCCGGGGTGAGGAGCCTGGGGTCTACAAAATCCTGCTCTGCACAAGGCTGGTTCCCATGCCCTGGCAGGCCCAGAGTTCAAACTTCTCCCCTAAATCTGAGGGTGGGGGCAAGGCACAAAAGCGACAGCCTCTGCGGACCCAGAGGAGCACCGTGTGAGCTGGAGGGGGGCCCTGGCTACAGGACATTGCACCCCCCGGAAGTAAAAGGAAGAACAAAAAGCTGGTCAGGCTCCCTCAGATAAAAGGGACAGGGTGTTCCGATGGACCACTCAAAGGCCAAAGAAAAGGGCTGGTTGTTGGCTGGGTTAGTTTGATCATTTTCCTTTTTAGCAGAGCCCTCAGGCTGGTCACTTTGAGGATCCACTGATCCCTGAGAATAGCTGTTAAGCCAAACCTTCCCCCACTGAGCTCTGAAGTCTGCAAAGATCCATGAGACATGCCCCATCGTGGTACACAGGGTTGGTAGCAATAGCTGTGCTCATAGGATGTCTTCCTCACCGATCAGAGTTGTCTGACAGAGGTAGAGAAAAAAAAAACAGATCTGGGCAGAATGGGATATTCTTTCCACTTCATGCAAAAAATTCCTGCCTGTGCTGGCTCCAAACCATGGTGGTCACCTGCAATATTAGGAGCCTGAGACCTTGGCAGCTGGAATCAAGGAATGTGCTGCCAAGTGGCTTGTGTTTACCAAGGTCTTCCCTGGAAAGGATGCCCTGGATTCCCTTACGGGACCACGTCCTTTCCTCCTGCCTCTCTGCACGTTACTGGACTTGCACTAAATGCTGCCTGTGAATAGCTGGGCAGGGAGGGAAGGAATACAGTTCACATAACACTCCAGTGATCAGAGCAGTGCCAGTGCGGGCTGCAACCTCTCTCTTCCCCGCTCCAGAGCAGCAGCAAGACCAGGACACAAACAACAGGGGACAGAGTCTCGGTGCTATCGTTTTCCAGCCTCTTAGGACAGATCCTTTAGCACACAGAAGGTCAGCAGCAAATCCAAAGGTTTTTACCTGAGGCTCTGAATTCTTAACCTTTGTTCGCCAAAGAGGCTGCAAACCAAACATATTAACAAAATCTCTATTTTTGTTCTCTCCCTGGTGCAAACTAAACAATCCAGGAGCTCTTTGTACTTGAATATCTACGTATTACATATTGTACTTTTTGTTTTTTTCAGAAGGTGTCCAACAATGTTTACATGCAAGGTTTGAGTGGATTATATGTATTTAACGTGTAAATGTGGCAGTCTCGAAGATCTATTTAATTTTCTAGCTGTGGATGACATGCTGTACTGTAGAATGGGCAGCTAGCTCTCTGCGCATTCGTGTGTGTGTTGGTTTGGGTCTTCTCGCTGTTATTGTCTTGTTTCAGGTTTACTCTCAGTTTGGGACAATTTGTATCTAATAACCCCCAAAAGATCTATTTATTCAGAACAAAATTGCACTAGGGAACGTCAGAGGCACGTAGTGTGCTGGGAGGCAGCCATGCCCGTCGGCTCCTGTGACCACGTTGACTTGGAGGATGGTCACCATGATCTATTCAGTTGGGTTTCAACGGTGATATCTGCAATGTATGGAAAGGGAAAAGCCCCTGCCTGTTGCTGTGAAAGTTCCCTGGTGGATTTCTCCTGGACAATTGCAATACACATTCTTCTGGAATGCTTTTCTTCTCTCCTTCTTTGCCATCGTCTGCTTTAATGGAGATGAATTTTTGTCCATCCTTTCCACAGCCCTTCCTCCCTTGAGGACTTTGGTGCCTTGTGTCCAGGAGGATTTCCAGAGTGCTGACTGTCTCTAGTTCAGGTCAGGCACTTGTAAACACCTAATCCCAGAGCAAAGTCTCTCCTGCATTTGTCGGGCAACAAGACCAGACTGGCGTTTTAATGCCAAAGCTAATCAGACTTTGCTTCAGCCCTGAGTTCTGGGGGTGTTGGACTCTGTAAAAATCGGTCGGTGGCTCCAAAGGGCTCCGTGCGCTTGTGCAGCTGGGAATGCCCAGGCCATGCTGTGACTGGGGATGGTCTGTGCTGTCTCTTCTCCATCCCGGGGGAAACCTGGGTGGATTGAGCAGGATACACCGGCCAGCCCAGGCAGATATGGGGCTGAGCCCTCCGTGGATAAACTCTTAGGGCTGGGAGCAGCAGGGCAGGCTTGTCCCGAGCACACTGCTCTGTGCAACCCACAGCCCAGGCTTGGGAAGGGGCTTTGTGCTGCAGCCAGAGACGCTTTGGGAGCTGAATAACCAGACAAGAGGTAGGTGTGTTGGCTGCGGAAGCCCAGCGTATCCGTCCAGCGCTGAGCAGCTCTCCCAAGCCGTGATCACGTTGATCGGTGACAGTCACACACGCTTGCACAGAAAGGTGTGAGAGCCTGGTTTCAGACATGACACAGCTTCTGAAGCCGTTTTAGCCCTGTTCCCAGGGTGGTGACTCTCCTCCCCGGCTACATCTGGGCTAAATTTGTCACTCTTTCAAACGCTGCCCTTTCAGCATGCCGCCTGCTCGTTTCCCAAGCCTCCAGCACGCCTCTGTGCGCAGCTGCCGTGGTCTGTTTGGCTCTTATTTCGGGTCCTGAACTCCATCTCTGCGTTCGTGCGCCTGTGCCCGAGTTCCTGCCTTGTCCCTGCGGTACTTCTGGGGCAGAGCGTAGCTGCTTCCAGCTGCTGCCCGGAATGGAACATAGCGTTTCAGGAGGAAATGTGAGCGTGCCCTTGGCAAACGGGCACCGTCGGGGACTTGCACCAAGAGAGTGGCGCTGGGGGTGTACGCAGGAGCTGAGCACCCCATCCATGGATGCTGCTGGCCACTGCAGCCTGCTCCCTCCTGTTTCTGCCCTCCTGCCCTGCACCAGTGAAGGGTTGTGATAACAAACTGCCACCGAAGCGGTTACACAGCCCCTGCTGTACAAGCAGCTAAAGGGGTTTTACTTACACCCTTTCCCAACTAGAAAGAAGGAAGGAAAGCACTTCTTCTATCTGTCCCTACTTGGAAGGTTGTGCAGCTTTGTTAGGCTGGTGTAATTAATGCGGAGCAATTTGTGTGTGTGTACAAGCCCTAAAATGTTTCCAAACCAGCCCCTGTAAGCATCAGCTTGGGCAAGACCCGCACCTAAGCTCCTCAGCACAGCCTGGTTTCCCTCTCACCGGTTTGGTGTTCCCCGGTGGTTTCCTATGGAGATGCTGACCCGGGCGGCTCCGTAGCAGGGCTGTGTTTGTGAACACCCACACTCTCCTGCTTTTGCTCCAACGCATTTCTCAGCAGATTCGGGGTTTAAAAACAGAGGGTTTACTTAAAGCAACACTGTACACCTCAGTGCAGTACCTGTAACCATGCAGAATACCTCTCATTTCCTGAAAAAGGCATATTTGTCCTTCCGCCTGGCTGCAGCTGAAATATGGCCTGAACCAGGTCGCCCACAAACTGCAGGCCCAGTGCTCTGGAGCTGCCAGCAAGCCTGAACACATCCCGCTGCTCAGCTTGGTCACAGGATAGCTGCGTCTTGATTCACAGAGGCAGATGAAAGGCACGAGATGACACGAGCTGCCAACAATTCACTCTCTGACAAATGATCCCTCCACCCCCCCAACTCCCTGCGAGCCCTGAATTCGGTCCCCCTGCTCCTGAAACCGTAGCTGGACAACCCCAGCAGTGAGTGAAGCTGCTGTATTTCTCTCCACTTTCTGATTTCCAAGCCACCAACAGCAGAGAGAGGGGTTTTAAAAAGGGAAATAGAGCCTGTGACCGGCTCCTTTGGCTTCAGGAGTTTGGAGAAACACCCCCTGTTACAGCAGGCACGGTTGGCTGCAGCCCACCTGGCCATGCCCGCTCCCTCCCTGTGCGTGTGTGTGCCCCTCTTGCCCTTGTATTTAGAAAGACACTTGAGGTTTGGGAATTCCTTGGGGCGCACTTCCAATGGACGTGACTCTTCCCATCACCTGCCTGAAACCAGGGCTGAGGCTGGGGAAGGGTCTGCTGGGCAAACCCACTCCCAGTTCCCGCTCGGAACTTCCCTTGCAGCCCCTGGAGGAGCTGAAGATGTGCAGGATTTGCTCCAGTCTGCGATGAGCAACTCCCTCACTGCCCTGTGGGGGGGGGAATCCACCAAAATATGTCACGCGCTCACGGAGCGAAGGGACTGGTGTGTCTCCATCTGGGATAAGAGTCACTGCTCCCCCTGCTCTGCCCCCGGGATCTGTCCCAGCACCACCATCCCCCTGAACCCCCACAGCATCACCAGCCCTCGGAAATCCCGCTGCATCGTGGGGAGAGGCAGTTGGGGCTCAGAAACTTCCCAGAAGAAACGTCCACGGGAAGCTTTGCGCTGGTTGTATTACAGAGGTGAAGCAGAAATCGGGGTGACGGAGCTGCTCTGGCCAAACTTTCTTCTGCAGAAGAGGGGGGAGAGGGGGGAGAGCCCCCTTCCAGGCCGGGGCTGCGGTGGCCGGGTGGCACGTGGCGTATGACGCCCAGCTGAGATTCGGAGGCAGCTCCTCAGGGTGCACCTGCCTGACTTTTTCATCTGCTTGGCAAGACGCGGTGTCAGATGTGGGTGTTGCGTGCGAGGCAAGGAAGTGGGGTGGGATGGCACGGCTCCCACCCCTGGCGCTAACTCTCTCCTGGGTGAAGCGGGAACAGTCTCATGGCAGCGAGGATGCTGTGGAAAGGTCATTTCTGTTGGGGTGGCGGGTGCTATGGCGAAAGATGGTGAGTTCCTGGCTCCTCCCCTCTGGGGTGAGATACAGGCAGGATGGCCTGGCCACGGAGAGAGAGGAGAGACCTTAAAGGGTTGAAGAACAAACCAAGCGTTAAAATCACAGGCGAGCCCAGGATGGTTTCCTTGAAGGACACTCACAGAATCATAGGATGGGTTGGGTTGGAAGGGACCTTAAAGCACATCCAGTTCCACTCCCTGCCATGGTGAAACCCTGCCTAATGAAATTGCCCGAGTCCTCCCATTCCCCACCCGCCATGCCGAGGCTGCTGTGTTCCCACCTGCCACTGAGAATGTGGAGAGCGCTTAATGGATTATGGCTGGATAATCAGTAAAGCGGAGCATATGCGAACGCTTCAGCCTCCTCGGTGCCTGCTGTGCTCCCGCTCATTGGAGGGAGTGAGGTCTGATGGGCAAATCTTTCAGGGCCTGAGACTGCCGTGCCAGGAATTCCTGGATGCAGACTGGAGGGCCTGGCTGCAACCAGCGGGACCGGGGAGGGCAGAGGCAATGAGGATCGATAGACCGAACCCGGGGGCTGCTGCTGTGCATTGATTTGTGCTCGCTGGTCTGATGAAGGGCCCCCGGAAGGACAGCTGGTTAGAGCAGAACTCTGCTCGAGTCCTGGCTGCTTTTGGGACAGGAGAAGGGATCTCTGGATCAGGCTGTTGGTGATGTGAGACAGCCAAGATGTGTCTGGGAGGGGTAGGCATAGGGACTGAGCCAAGGAAGAGGAAAACCAGCCCATTTCCCTGCATACTCTGTCATCTGGGGCTCCTCAGTCAGCACAACTCCTACATTTTTGTATCAACAGAAACACAGGGGATTGATTTCTCATTCTTTAAAACTCAGTACCTGTTGAACAGTTTCACACACAAACAATGTAGACACAGGAATGTACACAGAAGTATTCAATGAGATAGATCTTTATTAGAAGCTTCCAGCATATTTTGTCTGTTCTCCTCCAAAACCTCCTCTTACTGGATATACAGCTGCTATAGTCCATATAGAGCCTGTACATCTCTCTCTCTCTTATGTACTGCTACGTATCTCTCTGTACAATTGTGCAGTGTGCTCTCTTATCAGCAATAATACACGGTCTTAAGTACAACCCCACACACATTAAAATTGCATGGCACTCTGCATTACAAGGAAAGAGCTAAACCTCTTCTCTCCCATTCTGTAAGACACACATGGCCGTAGACTGCTCCATGAAGCTCAGAGGCAGATCCACGCAGGCATTCTGGGCAGATTTCCCCCAGGACCTTTGTGGATCTGGTCCCTGGTGCTTAACAAATCTCATGTGCGTTAGACTCGGGAGTGAAGAAAAACCCTTATGAATAATGCCCTTGAGTGACCAGGAAGGCACTAAAGGCAGGGAAGAACCTGACCCGCTTCCCTTTTCATTTTTCCCTCCACTTTCCACTCTGGGTCCCCTCCAGCCCTCTCCAGCCTCCCAGGGTTACACACTCAGCCACCTCCTCACTCGACATCTCCCCCCCAGCCAACTTTCTCCAGCACGGGAGGCAGTGGAAGGACCAAGTCATACATCTAGACCCCTCATCTGGTGGTCGTCAGAGCCAAACACGTACACGTGCCTTTTCCTCCTCTCTAACATGCTCCTGTCCTTGCCAGGGCTCTTCCCTGGTGCAGCCCCTTCCCCTGCTGCCCCTGAAGCCCCTTTCCATCCTGTGCAGCCATCCTGCCCTTTCCCTGGCTCTGGCTGCGTGACGCCTGCCCGTCCTCTGCCGCCCTCTGCTGACGGCAGAGGTGGCCACATGCAACCGAAACCCTATCTCAGAGCCTCCTGGAGCGTTAGACCGCGCCGTGACTTTCTTGGAGTGAAATCCAAGAGGATGAGTCTTCCTGCAGTGAGCCAAACCGGTCATGGGAGAGCCGGGCTTTGCCAAATGGGCGGCTCCTCCATCCCCCTTTTAGCTGCTGCCCAGCTGGCTGCGTGTAGCCAGCGCATGCTGAGCAGAGCCCCGTGTTTGGACAGAGACAGCTCTTCCCAAAGCTCTCTCCTCTCTTCCTTCACAGGCAACCCTGCCATTTCATAGGAACAAAGCACTTTCCCAGTTTCTTCGGCTCCCTCCTCTCTCCACCACCTCAGTGCCTTCCTTTGCCACCGGCCACTTCAGCAGGGAGGACGGACAAGCAGCGCCCTGGAACAGACACTGTGACTACTCCTAGGAGATAGCACAAGTATGCAAGAAGTGTGCAAAGGAAGAATGGAGCCGGCCCACGCCGGGCTCCTCTTCTGTCCAGTACTGGTACAAACTGCCTACCGCATTGTCAATGACTGTCACCGGAAGGATCCTGCTTCCGTGACATCCTGTCCCGCTTAGGGATGGGTCCAGAGAAGTCTTGGTGCTGGGATCCAGGCTTCTCGCGCTGCCCAAGGACGAAGTCCCCGGCCTCTGCCTCCAGCGTCCTGGCCTGTCCTCGGGAAGCACCTCTGGTGAGCGCTGAGGCTAGGTCTGGGGGTGTCCTTCTCTGACCTGCCTTCTGAAGTAGCGGATGGCAGAAAGCGTGCCAAAACTTGCCAGGAACACTGGAAAAGAGTCCAACACATTTCCAGAGTGAGACTGGATGCTTCTTCCAAACCTGAAGATCTTTTTCCACACTTTCAGATCACAAGCTGTTTGGCTCACTCTGATCCATGGGACCAGACTAGGGGGGTCGCTCCCCTCCCCTTCTCAGTCCCCTCCTGCTTTGCTTTTCACCACACTGAGCTTGTTCCCAGTGCATTCTGTCCTGAGCTGCCCACACTGGTTGACCACATCTACTCCTATAGCTCAGGCACACGGATCACACCGCCATTTCACAAGGAACAGCTGGTTTTAAGGGAAACACAGCACAGAGTTTGTGCTTGTGGTGGAAATGGGTGGTGGTTAGATCTAAAGGTTCATGCGGAGCTCAGAGGAGAAGGACACAGTAGGAAACCTCACCAGAACTTCAGGACAGTCTCTTTGTTTCCTACTTCTGTTTGGACCAGGAAGATGCCAGGAAAAATAGAATTTTGTGGGTTATCTGTGGATATTCTGATCCCAGCCAAAGGCAGAAAATACCCAGAATCAGAAAATATAGAGATACAAATAATAACTAATGGAGATTATACAGAGAATCAAGCTGTTCTCTGTACTTTCAGCCACTGTTTTTAGCTCAGTTTGTAAGAGAGGTCAAATCCCCCCGATGTGTGCCCAAGCAAAACCGGGAAGCCAAGCCCTGCCATTGGACCTCCCAGTTTAAATTCAGCTGTGATTCTGATTTACGTCTTAGAGCCTGGGGCTTAGACAGGGAAATTCAATTTGTTAGAACCTAAAATGCCAAAATAGAATTGCTACTGCAGGATGCCAAACCGTCTCTCGCCTCCCCTCCTCGCTGGGTTATGCAATCCTGAGGGCACGAGGCCCATATCCCGCTTTTCGCACCCTCCCTGAGGCCACGTCTACCATCCATACTAAGAAGGCACGGAGGAGCAGGCCAAAAGCTCCTTGTGATGATTGCACCGAGCAAATTTAGGTGATGAGCTATTCTCAGCCCCGGTGTCAGCTTCCTGTGTGACCTTAGCGGGGAACATTCCTTGCCCGGACAAGCAGGAGGAAGCCCTGGCCCCAGCGTCTCGCCCCATGGCGGGGGGTTTCTCCGGTGCCCCACAGGCTCAGCTGCTGCAGCCCGGGCAGGGCTGCCGCACTCGATACCCCACGCCACGCTCATCCCGTGACCCGCAGCCCTTGGACCACCGCTCAGGTAATTCGTGTTGCCTGAGCTTCCTCTCTCCCCACCGGTTATCCAAATGCGGTGGTTGGAGAGGAACTGGCAGAGCCCCGTTTACTTGCAGGACTCGGCACCAGGATAATACTTCAGCTAAGCTGTATTTAGAAAGAAGATTATACCTTCACAGCACATTAGAAAAATAGGTGCATTTGTTCCAGCTGAGATGAAGGAACATAAACCTGCACAGGCCAGGTCCTGATTCAGCTTCGAGCCTGCAGGGATCCTAAAGAAGTCTCTTTTCCCCTGACACACTGCAACTGGTCCCTGTCAGGGGTAGGATGGAGCAGGGCAGAAACTAGGAATACAGATGTGTCCTACGGCTCAGTCCCTTGGTGTGGGGAAAGGAAAACGTGAGTAGGAATCAGGACTGCCATCTCTACAGGAAAGAGAGGAATTAGAAAGTAACAGGATGCTTTGGAAAAGCAGGAAAATGACTGCATTTTCCCACAGGCACCGTTAGGTGTGTTAGCATCCCTGCCTTTCTCCCTGCAATGTCTTCCCCAGGTCCTTCCCACCCCTCCTCTGTACTGAGCACCCTACGTACTGGTCTTCCAGGCATCCGGAGCCTGCAGGTCGGAGGTCTTCACTGCCCAGGATGCAAAGGCACAGAAGACAAGGCACATGTCCTTGTGGGTCAGCGCCAGCAGAGCCTCAGGCCTCCCTGCCGGAAGAAGAGCACGAGTTGGGGGTTTACATCTCTCCCACAGCAGGTTCCAGTCCCTCTGGGGCACCCAGCCCCCTTGCAGTCCCAGAGAAATACATCTTAGTCACACCTTTTCCCTCCCAGAAGACCTTTTTTTCACCATTGGCCAAGTCAAACATGTCTATTTAGGACTCAGGTGAGTTTCTAAGGAAAGGGGCACATTCTTCACCCCTCTTAGTTTTACGCTTTGTGAAAAGCCCGAGGCAGATATCTGTTAATGCTACAGAGAGAGCAATCGCTGGACTGGCTGTTGATGCACTGGGGCTGGTCCCCCTGGCCATGGGCCCCTTCCTGCAAGACAATGCCCCCAGATGCACCCAGCTCCAGGACATCACATACACCCCCTGAGAAGCACCAGTGCTCAGCATCTCTCTGCTGATCCCACCTCACTCCTGCTCCCTGCCAGAGAGGGAGACAGCCCTGAGCACTCTTCATTTCTTTCTCTGGAGTTCCAGTCTGGCACGACTTGAAGACATGTCGCAAGAGTAGGTTATTTTTACTCCTACGTTTATTTGATCAAGCTTTTAATTAAAGCCAGCTTATTAATTAGCTACGACCATGGCAAAGGGGTTTTTCTCTGTGCAAACAGACGAAGTTCTATTTTGAGGCACCTTTCGGGATGACTCATCCATTGTTTGGTTTTCATATTAACTACGAGGCACTGTGGCTGTTAAGCATCATATAAGCTTTAAGATAAATACGCTGGCTGTCCTAGCGTGTTGCTCTCCCTTTAGTTCTGTTTCTCTCACCTGCCTCCAGTCAACGTTCAGGTAACCTCTGAGGTGTCTGGAGGGTGTTTTTCAAATTAGTGTGTGTTTTAAAGCCTCCCTGCAGCTCTTTCAGCTGGAAGCCTAGGACATGTTCCACCCTGTGCACACCTTTCCCCTCACCTCAGCAGCCCGGCCCTGACAGGACAGCAGCTCAGCAGCCATTGCCTCATCTCAGGGGCACAAAATCTTGGGTGCAGAAGGATTTTGCTGCTCTGCCTCCCACTCGCTCATCAGTAATAGAAGCATGTCGTTCTGCAGGCAGTTGGATGGCACTGGGGTGGGGGATTCCTGTCTCTGCCAGACCTTGCAATAGCACCAGCCGTGTTTAATGAATCTTCCGTAGGTTTTCCTTGGCCAGAGTGCACAGATTAGATCTACAGTAAGTCATCTCCACTCAAGGGGACAACTGAATCAGCTAGGACACGGACTTCAGGCCAGACTGAGATGCATGCTGCTGTGAGCACCTGTGCCCCAGAACTGGAGTTTGCAGGGAGCAAAGCGTGTTATGCATGGATTGTACCTAGATTCCCTGTCCATGTCTCCTGCAGCACCAGGAGCCAGGCTACAGGGCCTGGCCAACAGCACTGGCTTGGAACAGGGACAGCGTGAGCATCACAAAAGAGAACCAAGGTGACAGAGCATGTCGCGGTGGTGGCTTTGGCCATGCTTCCCCTGGCACAGCCCCGGGGCTGCTGTGCGGCAAGGTTAAGGTGCCAGGAGCGGGATTTCAGACCAGCTACACCTGGCTGAGCCCACCACAGTGCTCCCAACTGCCGGGTGGCCTTAGAGCCACCGTGGCTGGAGTGGCGATGGCTGCAGTGGGGCCAGAGTGGGCTGCCAGGCTTCCCGAGGGGCGGTGGGAGCCGGGGACACAGGGGCACATCCCCACCCACAGCGGCGAGCAGGGGGTGACGGTGCTTTACCTGTCAGCGCAAGGGCCATGTCCAAACCTTCTGGGTGTGCCTGGTCTCTTCCCAGCGGAGCCAGCGGGACGAGGGGGAGCTGCTCTCCAGATGCTCTCCGCACCAGAGCCGGGGGGGCTGGGGCTTGACCTCTGACGAGACGTATTGGCCTTTGCAGGAGGGACTTCAGAGCCCCCACAGCTTTCTTCACCTCAGAGGCTGGAGTGATGGAGAAAATCCCTCTCCAGCTCACCCTGTTCCTAGGCCCGTCTGGTAAAAAGTGTTCATACACCTCAGGGACCGAGATAACCAGGGAGTTTTTGGCCAGAGCTGAGTCAGGATCCTCGTTCTGCAGCTGAGCATGGTCCAAGCTGCCGAACTTCTTTCGCTTCCTGTCTTTACCCTTGACTTTTTTCCTGTTTTCTTCTGGTTCATTGAAAAAGTACTCATACAGTTCAGGCAAGGATATTTCCCTATCCAAGGGTGTTCTCTCCTCCTCCACTGAGTTCCCTGTTCCTTCTTCTTCCTCTTGGGAGTCACAGAACAAATAGTCGTACATCTCAGGCCAAGTCACGTCCAGGGTGTTTGCCCTTGCAGAGGCCCCGGTTGCAAAGCAAGGGGGGTCCAGCTCTCCAGGGGTCTCAGCTGAAGGCTCCCCATGAGCTCCCTCAGCAGCATCCCCTCCAAAAGACACCACACTCTTGGGACGGAGAGGTTTCTCCGGCATCTCCTGACATGCCTCTCCTGAAGAAGTGGTGGCTTCACCAGCAGGGATCACCGGCACGTTGTCACGTATGCCCAAGCCACCAGCCTGCCCTGGCTTTGAAGGCTTGGTGGCCTTCACCTTCCCCAGGGGCTGTGCCCCCGGCTCCTTCACCTTCTGCTTCGGGGGACCGCTCGTGGCTGGATCACCCACATCCATGCCAGGGCCGGGCACCAGCCGTTTGCCCTCCCCTGCTTCCTCGCTCCCCAGCTTCACAGGAGCCAGCTTGGCTGCCTTCTCCTTCCCTTTACTCTTCCGGGAGGACAGTGGTGAGCTTAAAGATGCCTTCGTGGGTACCACAGTCCCCTGAGCCGCAGCCCCCCCGGGCTCCCTGTCCCCCGGGGCTGTCTCTGCAGCACTGGCTCCACGTTGCTTGCGGCTCTTCCTCAGCTGTCCCGGCACCTTGGGCCTCACCACGTCCGGGGAGCCAGCCGGGGATCTCTGCTCGGCACCCGCTCTCTCCCCGCTTGCCTCCTCCCGCACCGGGCAGCCAGGCACTTGGGGCTCAGTCTCCAGGGCAGGGCTCGAGGGGTGGTCACATGGGGGTCCCTGTAGCCCAGGCTCCGAGTGGGAAGCACCGCTAGGACTTCTCCTTGCCGAACCTTCCGGGGAAACAGCCAGCGCCGGGGAGCTGCCCCACACTGGAGCCCCTAGCTGTGCTGCCACCGGGCCGCCATGGGGGTGTTCCGCTCCTGCGACCCCTCCCTGTTCCGGGATGCTTGTTCCAGCTGGGTGGCTGGGAGGCTCCATGGCCTGGCTGCCGCTGGCTGCTCCTTCCTCCGATGCCGGCTGTGGTGCTGCTGCTTCACATGCTGTGTCCTGCCCTGGGCTGCTCTCGGCTGTGCTGCCAGCTGGGCTGGCAATGGCGGCTGCGGGGGGATGGGGGGGCTGCCTCCCCTGCACACTGGGCATTGGAGCGGATGAAGGGCAGACGGGTTTGTCGCTCTCGCACAGAAACCTGCTGACCGAGCCCAGGTCCGCTTCGTCCTCGCTGCCCGAGAGAAGGTCCGGCAGGGAGAGGTGCCTTTTTTTTGGAGGCGTCTCCGGCCACCCCACGTGGGGCAGAGGTTCCTGTGCCAGGCCCTGGCCCGCTGCCCACCCTCACTGCGATCTGCCCGTTCGTGCTGGCACGGCAGTCTCCCCCCAGCACGCCGTCCCCTTGTTCAATGTCACTGAGACACTGCTCCTCGGCCGTGGCCAGGGCGGCGGGCGTGAGGGTGCATTCCTCCGACGCCCAGAAGGACTACGGCCAGTCCCTGTCAAT